TTGGGTTTCAATCCTGTGATTAATTTACATTTCTTCCTTCCTTCTCTGTTTTTTTTTTCTTTATTATCATTTTTAGCTCTGAAAATATTTGATTTAAATTTCAGTATCTGTCAGTTATTTGTAAAGATGATCTCCATTTTGTTTTCCTCTCTTATCAGCCAACATTATTATTATTTTTTAATAATATAACACTTTCAGCTTTTGGTACAAAAATATTCTCTGTTGCCTCTATTTCAAGTCATTTCAATTTTTGCAATGAAATCCTTTATAAATATTTATTTTATTATTCCAATTCTGTAATTTTTCTTTAGCAAAGGCTGATAAAATGGCTCTAGTTTTATTATTATAAAGTTTGACCAATACAAGGTTCAAGAGCTACTCAATGTAGATGGTTACTGTTAAAATTGTTCTGATGAATGAAGTGTGTGATACGAATGATAGAGCAGATGGCAAAAAGTGAAGATTATGAGGATAAGAAGGATAGATAATGAGGTTAAGATTGTAGTGTTCAGAGTAGCAACTATACATGAATCTGTTCTACAAAGTAAGCCATCTTGTGAAAAATCTGTCAGAGCAGAACATTTTTCTTACTTTTGGAATATGGAGGAAATGAGGGGGATTCAACTCTGTGAAAGTAACTTAGCATCTCCTAGTTGTGAAGGTTTGATCCTGTGGGACTACAGAATGGAGATCCTCAGAACATCTGATGTTGAAAATGGAGACAGAATAGCATCAAGATTGTGATGTTGATCTGTAGGAAAGAAATTGTAGAATAAAAAAATTTCCCTCCACAAGACCATGTGAATGATTTTGAATTCTGTTCAGGTTGGAAAGTGCAGATTGAGCAACACCATCCTAGATAGGGCAGCGATTGTTACAGAATGCAAGAGCCAGACCAGGATAGCAAATTAATGGCCTGATGATCCATGAGTACGGAATTCTGACAGTGATGGATTGTCTTTGTAATATATATATATATATATATATTTAAAACCTCTAACCTTGTAGTTAAAAATAATAATTCACCTCAACAAAATTAAATAGGACAAATATTAATTATGAATTTAAATGTCCATTAAGGAATTGTATTCCTGATCAATCAAAATCCGTAAATAATTATATAGGCCACACTACATGTTTAACACGAAAACTCACACTACACCTTTCTGACCATAGCTCAATTAGATCACATTTAAATATTGATGGAGACCTAAGGGACCCTATTTGTAACATACTTGTTGACCACACAAATATAACAGCTTCATCTACGTGCAAAAAAAGGCTGAAAATAATTGAAGCCTTATTAATAAAAACAAAAAGAAACAACACTCAATAATATCAACTATGAATATGGACACAATATTCATACCATGTTTTGAAAATGAAAACATTATATAAATCCATAAATACAACAAACTATTTCTTGTTAACAGTTAATATATTTCAACCTTGAAAATGGCTAAATGTATAGCCAAAAGTGCTTGAATAAAAAGAACATTTAGACAGTTTTTATATAATTTATCATCTGAAAAGAAAAAATTATTAGATCACATGAGAAATTCTATAAATTACTAAATTAAAGCACCTTGTCTGTCGTATTCAATGAAATGTACATGAAAGAAGGGTTTCTGCCTAAATACACCAATATATATATATATATATATATATATATATATATAACTTTTTGCTAACTTGTTCCTGTTCATGCCATCATATATATTAAGATACATATATTGTTTTATAAAAAAGGTTTTATGCATTTTAGTTTAGAAGTAAAACCCGTCTAAAGATTATATGTGAGTTACAAGAATTAGCACCTGAAAACACTGTAATCAGATTATTTACATTATTCGGACTATTGTCCTCATCTTTGTTGACATATTTATTACAACATTTCAGCCATTGTATGCTCCAGCCTTCTTCAGGTGGTTGGAATGTCAAACTGAATCCTTTACTTCGCTCACTGTTTAATGGAGGTCAGTCATCAGTTATTTCCTGTTAATTTCCCTCTGACACTGTAATCAGAGTTCATCATTCTTTTGTTTGCCTTGTGATCATTATATTAAATATCAGATTTGATATCTATATAATAATTCCTGATATGATTGGCTATATAAATCTTTTTAAGAAATAAGGATATATTGAATTAGATAGGAAACTAGTAGATATATATCCTAAGATTGAGTGAAAAAAGATAACTTTCCTTAGAAAAATTGATATGCACAAGCTGAGATAGGCCAATAAATAAATAAGACATCAAGAAAATGATTTTAAAAGACAGATATGGAAATAGATGTGGTAGGAGAAAATAACCACAATATAGACATGCATAGATTTGGACAATGGCACTTGTTTTTTGTTTTTTTGTGTAAAACATGTGATTTTTCTTCTATGTGTCATGTCACTTCAGGATGTGGGCAATCATAGCTCTCCACAACATCCTATCATTTTCTAGCTCTTAGTAAGTTTTGTCTTTTTACCATCACTCCCACTTCCATCCATTTACACAAGTGTGTTACTCAGTTTCCCTCTTGTCTTTAATATGTCCTGGGAGTGTTAAATTCCCCAAGACCTCTTTTCGCATTATGTGTCCTAGAAATTTCAACTGTCTCTTTCTGGTTCTAAGTAGAAGTGTCCTTTTTGTTTCCATTTTCTGAAAAGCATCCACATTACCAACATGTTCCATCCATGATATTTTTCTGTAGAACCACATCTCTGTTGCTTTCTCTTCTTTGTCCAAGAAGAGATTGTTCAGCATTCACTGCCATAAAGAAGTAATAATATTATATAACAGTTTCGCATACTTTCCTTTTCTTCTAATGAAATTTCCGTGTCTTTTAATATTCTGTTTGCTTTCTAACCATTATATTAAATGTAAGTGTTGTACTATACCTACAAATGATAATGGTTATGTCACCATTCACATAAATATAAATACATAAATCCTTTTTTATAAAACAATATATGTATCTTAATATATATGATGTCATGAACAGGAACAAGTTAGCAAAAAGTATATATATATATATATATATATATATATATATATATATATATATATATATATTTGTGTATTTAGGCAGAAACCCTTCTTTCATGTACATTTCATTGAATACGACAGACAAGGTGCTTTAATTTAGTTTTTTATAGAATTTCTCATGTGATCTAACAATTTTTTCTTTTCAGATGATAAATTATATAAAAACTGTCTAAATGTTCTTTTTATCCAAGCACTTTTGGCTATACATTTAGCCATTTTCAAGGTTGAAATATATTAACTGTTAACAAGAAATAGTTTGTTGCATGTATGTATTTATATAGACGAATCTCAAACTGCAGACCAACACACTGTGTGTCAGTCTGCAGTTTGAGATTCAGCTACAGCTGTGCTGGTCAAACGCTCTGCTTCTGGGCAGAGAGGATCCCCATACAAGGCTATATCAAAGGGCAAAGTCTCATCTCAGGAAAAAGGTACCTGACCCCGTTTTGTACGAGGTCTACAGGGAATTTTTGGCCGAGCCTACAGGCTCCGATACCCCACATTAAATTCGGTCTTGTGCCACATCTGACCACATGGGGCAGTTGGTAGATATCCTGCAGTTGGAGATTCATTGTGGAATCCACTTGACTCATTTTTGGCAGTGGACTACTTCTTCTGCACACTGCTGGTGAATCTTATATGTGCTGTTCTTGTCCTAAGTATTATCATTCATTACCAAACTTTGTGTGATTATTCTATTCAGTAACCTTCCCTAGGTTACAACACTAACGAAGGGAGGGACAAGCACAATTATAATAATACTAATAAAACTAAAGTACAACAAACTAAGAAAAGGGTTAATCACTGATCCACCATACCTTTTTAATATTTTCTTTGCCTTGTGACCATTATATTAAATGTAAGTTTTGACATCTTTGCATAATAATTCTTGATATGATTGGCTATATATATTTTTTTTACTAAATAAGGGTATATAGGATTACGTAAGGAGCTAGATGTGGAGACACGGAGCAATGGTTAGTACCTTAAATTGAGGAATCAGAGATCCGAGTTCAAATTCCAGTCAAGTTCATTATATTCACTTGTATGCTAATACCCTTGGGAAAGTTATGAATTCATCTCTTCTCCCACCAGCTATGAGTTAAATAGCAGGACAGACTGGTTCTATAGGCTTGGTTTGTGACTAGTTTAGGAGAAGGACAACTCTGAAGTTGTCAGCCTGGATAGGTTTGTCAACCAGCCTGGATAGGTTTGTCAAGCTATCTTGCCTAAGACATACAACGGCTGCAGCATATGTCATGTCCTTACGACCCTTAAAGGTTATGAGTCTAATGATTGTGAAGTAACTAGTAGATATATATGATAAATTAGAGTGGAAAAGATAAATTTTCTGAGAAATATAGATATGCACCAGCTGAGATATACTCATAAGTAAATAAGACAACAACAGAGTGATTTAAAAAGACAGGCATGGGAAAAGAGAGAGAGGAAAAACTGACAACGTAAATACATGCATAGATTAGACAATGAGTAAAATGACACTTGCTTCTCTTTGTGTAGAACACGTGTGATTACTTGCTTAAATAATGTATGCTCTTTCCTTGAAGAAAGCCGAACACTTCAAGTGACCCAGCAAAAATTCACATTACCTGCCGTGATCTTTGTATCCTATGTCTGCAAGGAGGTGGTATCTCATTTTAAGCACAGTACACAGGATTTGCTACTTGTGAAGATTTTAACCCTTCCTCCACCTTCTTTCCAACCTATATCTCATAGTTTCTCAGCAACCAATCGAAAAGAAGAAAGGTTTGAATTGGATGTCATGACAACAAGATGTTATCTCATGGCTTGTCTTTCCAGATTAATGATTGGTGTAGAAGATGGGAAGTGGGAGGCTCTATTTGCTGGTTTTTGAAGACTGTTTGCCAGGAATTGGTGAAATTCTCTTTGCTCGTCGTTCAGGTGGGGTACTTTGTTTTAGAGTTTTTATCTTAGTGGGATGATGGCACCAGCGTTTTGGTTATTCTTCTATTGCTATTTTATTCATGAGAAGGTTTTTCTTTCTTTTTTTTCCCCCCTTCTTTGTGCAATTGTATCTAATTCTTTAACCTCTCTGTCTTTTCCTGATTTCTTTTTCTTTACTCTTCATTTCATCTATCTTTTTCTATTTTTTCTCATTTTCATGCAATTTTATCTACTTCTTTATCCACTCCCTCTCTCTCTTTTCCTTGTCATCTTTTTCTTTACATTACATTTAATCTGTGAGAATACCAGATGCTGTAAGCTTGGGTGTGCAGGTGGTGTAATGGATAATGGCTTGGAATTGTTAAGTGGAGAGGCAAGTTCCAATTCACTTTGTGTTACCCATTATTGTCTATAGATATGGGATATGTCCCAATTCTTATAAATACAGTGGTATATACTGTATGTTGTTTTCCATTTGGGATTCACCTTGATTCACTTCTAGTTCACCACTAGCACTTACTACATGTCGTTGGCAAATCTTGTATGTTGTTTCTGTTATAAATATTACTGTTCCATTTCTGTTATACTGGAACACACCTATTCTATTGTTAATAGACTCTCCCACCTATAATAAGTAGGAGTAGTAGCAGTCGCAAAGTCGCTCACCGAGTTGGTCAGTCAGTTGATGTCGGACGACCGTTAGTCAGATACTAAGAGTATCAGCGACCCCCACTAGATTTCTCTGCATTATTACCTATTATATCAAGTTCTTAACGTTTTGTACGTCGAACCTATTTTAGGACCGACTTAGTGAAATACAAGCCTCCACTGTGTAACTACAACAATTTCCAACCTTCATTTTGTTTATTCTTATTCAGTAACATTTTCTTAGGTTACAACACTTTGTATCCATTATATTCACTTATATGCAAATGCAATTGGGAAAAGTATGAATCCACCTCCCTCTAGATATCATTTAATTAGTAAGACTTGTATTACTAAATCATTATTAACTCCAAAATATTTTCTGGCTTTAAATAGCCTGTAATGGGTTGATAAGCCATATAAAATGAATGAATCAATAATTTTATCTGTCTTCTTTGTGCAATTTTATTTAATTCTTTATCCTCCCTCTCTCTCTGCATGTTTTTTCTCTACCCCTCATTTCATCAGTCTTTTCCTATCTTTTCTCTTCTTTGTGTAATTTTATTTAATTCTTTATCCTCCCTCTCTCTCTGCACGTTTTTTCTCTACCCCTCATTTCATCAGTCTTTTCCTATCTTTTCTCTTCTTTGTGTAATTTTATTTAATTCTTTATCCTCCCTCTCTCTGCACGTTTTTCTCTACCCCTCATTTCATCAGTCTTTTTCCTATCTTTTCTCTTCTTTGTGTAATTTTATTTAATTCTTTTCCTCCCTCTCTCTGCACGTTTTTTCTCTACCCCTCATTTCATCAGTCTTTTCCTATCTTTTCTCTTCTTTGTGTAATTTTATTTAATTCTTTATCCTCCCTCTCTCTCTGCACGTTTTTTCTCTACCCCTCATTTCATCAGTCTTTTCCTATCTTTTCTCTTCTTTGTGTAATTTTATTTAATTCTTTATCCTCCCTCTCTCTCTGCACGTTTTTTCTCTGTTTCTTTATTCCTTGCTTTATCACTTTTTATTTTTTTTGTATTTTTCTTGTCTCCTCACCACCTTCTACCTCTCTTTTTCTCACATCTTTTATTTTTCTGTCTGTCTGTCACTTTTCTTTTTTTTCTTTCATTTCTCAGAAATGAAGTAGCATTTTTAAAGAAAATATGATTTCTGAAAAGAAATTAAATTTTACAAACAAGTCTCCTGAAGAGGGGATGTAATTTTCATGAAAATCAGGGTAGAGACAAGATACATGAACATTAATTTTTATTTCTCACTATCTACTTTTATTAAATTACTCTATGATTATATATCATCCGATAATTAATAACCAATTCAAGAGTTGGGGAAAATACCATAATTTCATGTGTAATTACAATTCATTCATTAACATAGGGTCCATGTTTATTGATAACCTCCTTCCACCAGTTAACAAAAAGTACTGACTTACAGTCAAATCACATTGAAACACCAGTTCTCATTTGATCACCGAAGTTAAGCAAAACCAAGCCTGGTCAGTCCCTAGATGGATGACCACTTGGGAATACCAGGTGGTGAAAATGAAAATTGGAAGGCTGAGTTCTAATTCCAGTCAGGTTTGTTATATTCACTTACATGCAAATATGTTTGGGAAAGGTATGAATCCACCTCTTCTCCCTCCAGGTGTGGATTAATTAGTAGAACATATCAGAAAATAATAATTATCTCAAAAAAAATTCTTAGAATCTAAAAATATTTTCTAGCTTTAAATAACCTGTAAAAGTTTGATAAGCCATAGAAAAGGAATCAAATAAAAAAAACGTATTTTGGTTTGGATGAAAAGAATGTAGAAAGGTTAGTTTTCATCTCTTGATGTGTTTTAAAAGATCAATACTTTTCCCAAGGGTATTTGTGCAAAGGTGAATGCAATAAACTCCGACAGAATTTGCATTTGGCCCACTAATTCTAATTCCCATGCCAATAACCACTACATGCATATCCACTAAGACTAGTTAATCAGAGTAGATTAACTTTTAATGTGATTCTTTCTAATTTTACGCACATGATAATTCGGCATGTACACAATGAACTTGAGAAACTTTGTCAGTAAAGCAGAAAATTTACTTTTGAAAGACAATAGAAAAATTTCAGTTTTACATAGAATGTATAATTTTACATCCAATATTTTATTCAGTAAAAAGAAAAAAAAACAACTTTCCATAGATCATCCTAGCAGTTTCTGTTAGTTTCTGTGCAATAAAAGTTCTTCTGTTAGCTTTGCAATAAAAGTTCTTCTGTTAGCTTTGCAATAAAAGTTCTTCTGTTAGCTTTGCAATAAAAGTTCTTTTGTTAGCTTTGCAATAAAAGTTCTTTTGTTAGCTTTGCAATAAAAGTTCTTCTGTTAGCTTTGCAATAAAAGTTCTTTTGTTAGCTTTGCAATAAAAGTTCTTTTGTTAGCTTTGCAATAAAAGTTCTTCTGTTAGCTTTGCAATAAAAGTTCTTCTGTTAGCTTTTGCAATAAAAGTTCATGTTAGCTTTGCAATAAAAGTTCTTCTGTTATTTTGCAATAAAAGTTCTTTTGTTAGCTTTGCAATAAAAGTTCTTCTGTTTTTGCAAAAAAGAAAAAATAAAAGACAATAGCTTTGCAATAAAAGTTCTTCTGTTTCAGTTCAATAAAAGTTTTGTTAGCTTTGCAATAAAAGTTCTTTTGTTAGCTTTGCAATAAAAGTTCTTCTGTTAGCTTTGCAATAAAAGTTCTTCTGTTAGCTTTGCAATAAAAGTTCTTCTGTTAGCTTTGCAATAAAAGTTCTTTTGTTAGCTTTGCAATAAAAGTTCTTTTGTTAGCTTTGCAATAAAAGTTCTTCTGTTAAAAAAAAAAGTTCTTTTGTTAGCTTTGCAATAAAAAGTTCTTTTGTTAGCTTTGCAATAAAAAGTTCTTCTGTTAGCTTTGCAATAAAAGTTCTTTTGTTTGGCAATAAAAGTTCTTTTGTTAGCTTTGCAATAAAAGTTCTTCTGTTAGCTTTGCAATAAAAGTTCTTTTGTTCTTTTGCAATAAAAAGTTCTTTGTTAGCTTTTGCAATAAAAGTTCTTCTGTTAGCTTTTAAAAGTTCTTTTGTTAGCTTTGCAATAAAAGTTCTTTTGTTAGCTTTTTAAAAGTTCTTTTAGCTTTGCAATAAAAGTTCTTCTGTTCTTTGCAATAAAAGTTCTTCTGTTAGCTTTGCAATAAAGTTTCTTTTGTTAGCTTTGCAATAAAAGTTCTTTTGTTGCTTTGCAATAAAAGTTCTTTTGTTTGCAATAAAAGTTCTGATAGCTTTTGTTAGCTTTGCAAAAAAGTTTTTTTGTTCTTTCAATAAAAGTTCTTTGTTAGCTTTGCAATAAAAAAAGTTCTTTTGTAGCTTTTGCAATAAAAGTTCTTTTTGTTAGCTTTGCAATAAAAAGTTCTTTTGTTAGCTTTTGTAAAAAAGTTCTTTTTGCTTTTAAAAGTTCTTTGTTTTGCAATAAAAAGCTTTCAATAAAAGTTCTTCTGTTAGCTTTTGCTTTGCAATAAAAGTTCTTCTGTTAGCTTTGCAATAAAAGTTCTTTTGTTAGCTTTGCAATAAAAGTTCTTTTGTTAGCTTTGTAATAAAAGTTCTTCTGTTAGCTTTGCAATAAAGTTTTTTTAGCTTTGCAATAAAAGTTCTTTTTTTTCTTTGCAATAAAAGTTCTTTTGCTTTGCAATAAAAGTTCTTTTGTTAGCTTTGCAATAAAAGTTCTTTTTGTTAGCTTTTAAAAGTTCTTTTGTTAGCTTTGCAATAAAAGTTCTTTTGTTAGCTTTGCAATAAAAGTTTGGCTTTGCAATAAAAGTTCTTTGTTAGCTTTTGTAATAAAAGTTCTTTTGTTAGCTTTGCAATAAAAAGTTCTTCTGTTAGCTTTGCAATAAAAGTTCTTTTGTTAGCTTTGCAATAAAAAGTTCTTTCTGTTAGCTTTGCAATAAAGTTCTTTTGTTAGCTTAATAAAAGTTCTTGTTGTTAAAGCTGTTAGCTTTGCAAAAAGTTCTTCTTTGCAATAAAAGTTCTTTTGTTAGCTTTGCAATAAAAGTTCTTCTGTTAAAAGTTCTTCTTTGCAATAAAAGTTCTTCTGTTAGCTTTTAAAAGTTCTTCTTTGCAATAAAAGCTTTCTTTTGTTAGCTTTGCAATAAAAGTTCTTTTGTTAGCTTTGCAATAAAAGTTCTTTGTTAAAAGTTCTTCTTTTTGCAATAAAAGTTCTTTTGTTAGCTTTGCAATAAAAGTTCTTGTTAGCTTTTGCAATAAAAGTTCTTTTTTGCAATAAAAGTTCTTTTGTTAGCTTTAACAAAAATAAAAGTTCTTTTGTTAGCTTTGCAATAAAAGTTCTTTGTTAGCTTTCAATAAAAGTTTTTTGTTAGCTTTGCAATAAAAGTTCTTTTGTTAGCTTTGCAAAAAAAAGTTCTTTGTTCAATAAAAAGTTCTTTGTTAGCTTTGCAATAAAGTTCTTTAGCTTTGCAATAAAAGTTCTTTTGTTAGCTTTGCAATAAAAAGTTTGTTAGCTTTGCAATAAAGTTCTTTTGTTAGCTTTGCAATAAAAGTTCAACAAAAAGTTTTTGTTAGCTTTGCAATAAAAGTTCTTTTGTTAGCTTTGCAATAAAAGCTTTGCAATAAAAAGTTCTTTGTCTTTTGCAATAAAAAGTTCTTTTTTGCTTTTAAAAGTTCTTTGCAATAAAAAGTTCTTTTGTTAGCTTTGCAATAAAAAAGTTCTTTGTTAGCTTTGCAATAAAAGTTCTTTTGTTAGCTTTGCAATAAAAAAGTTCTTCTGTTAGCTTTGCAATAAAAGTTCTTTTGTTAGCTTTGCAATAAAAGTTCTTTTGCAATAAAAGTTCTTTTGTTAGCTTTGCAATAAAAGTTCTTTTGTTAGCTTTGCAATAAAAGTTCTTTTGTTAGCTTTGCAATAAAAGTTCTTTTGTTAGCTTTGCAATAAAAGTTCTTTTTCTTTCAATAAAAAGTTCTTTGTTAGCTTTTGCAATAAAAGTTCTTTTGTTAGCTTTCTTAAAAGTTCTTCTGTTAGCTTTGCAATAAAAGTTCTTTTGTTAGCTTTGCAAAAAGTTCTTCTGTTAGCTTTGCAATAAAAGTTTTTTTGCTTTTAAAAGCTTTGCAATAAAAGTTCTTTTGTTAGCTTTGCAATAAAAAGTTCTTCTTTGCTTTGCAATAAAAGTTCTTTTGTTATAAAAAGTTCTTTGCAATAAAAGTTCTTTGCAAGTAAAAGTTCTTTGTTAGCTTTGCAATAAAAAAAGTTCTTTTGTTGTTAGCTTTGCAATAAAAGTTCTTTTGTTAGCTTTGCAATAAAAAAGCTTTTCTTTTGTTAGCTTTGCAATAAAAGTTCTTTTGTTAGCTTTGCAATAAAAGTTCTTTGTTAGCTTTGCAATAAAAAGCTTTCAATAAAAAAGTTCTTTGTTAGCTTTGCAATAAAAGTTCTTCTGTTAGCTTTGCAATAAAAGTTCTTTTGTTAGCTTTGCAATAAAAGTTCTTTTGTTAGCTTTGCAATAAAAGTTCTTTTGTTCTTTTGCAATAAAAGTTCTTTTTCTGTTAGCTTTGCAATAAAAGTTCTTTTGTTAGCTTTGCAATAAAAGTTCTTTTGTTAGCTTTGCAATAAAAAGTTCTTTTGCAATAAAAGTTCTTTGTTTTGCAATAAAAGTTCTTCTGTTAGCTTTGCAATAAAAGTTCTTTTGTTAGCTTTGCAATAAAAGTTCTTCTGTTAGCTTTGCAATAAAAGTTCTTCTGTTAGCTTTGCAATAAAAGTTCTTCTGTTAGCTTTGCAATAAAAGTTCTTTGTTCTTTTGTTAGCTTTTAATAAAAGTTCTTTGCAATAAAAAAGTTCTTCTGTTAGCTTTGCAATAAAAGTTCTTCTGTTAGCTTTGCAATAAAAGTTTTTGTTAGCTTTGCAATAAAAAGTTCTTTTGTTGTTGCAATAAAGTTTCTTTTGTTTTTGCAATAAAAAGTTCTTTTGTTAGCTTTGCAATAAAAGTTCTTCTGTTAGCTTTGCAATAAAAAGTTCAATAAAAGTTTTGTTAGCTTTGCAATAAAAGTTCTTTTGTTAGCTTTGCAATAAAAGTTCTTCTGTTAGCTTTGCAATAAAAGTTCTTTTGTTAGCTTTGCAATAAAAGTTCTTCTGTTAGCTTTGCAATAAAAGTTCTTTTGTTAGCTTTGCAAAAAAAGTTCTTTTGTTTGTTAATGCAAAAAGTTCTTCTGTTAATAAAAGTTCTTCTGTTAGCTTTGCAATAAAAAGTTCTTTTGTTAGCTTTGCAATAAAAAGTTCTTCTGTTAGCTTTGCAAAAAAGTTCTTTTGTAAAAAGCTTTGCAATAAAAGTTCTTCTGTTAGCTTTGCAATAAAAGTTCTTTGTTAGCTTTGCAATAAAAGTTCTTTTGTTAGCTTTGCAATAAAAGTTCTTCTGTTGTTAAGTTCTTTTTTTAGCAATAAAAGTTCTTTTGTTAGCTTTGCAATAAAAGTTCTTTTGTTAGCTTTGCAATAAAAGTTCTTTTGTTAGCTTTTAGCTTTCAATAAAAGTTCTTCTGTTAGCTTTGCAATA